TTAAAAAAAAAAAAATGAACTAGGGGTACCTTGGTGGCTCAGTCGGTTAAGCGTCCAACTCTTGATTTTGGCTCAGGTCATGATCTCATGGTTTCTGAGTTTGAGCCTGTGTTGATGTTGGGATCCATGCTGGGTGTGGAGCCTACTTAAGATTTGCTCTCTTCCTCTGACCCTCCCCACCCCTCAAAAAAAAAAAAAAAAAAAAAAAGAACAAAGTTAAGGATGATGGAAAATTTCTCAGTAGAGACAATGTGTACAAAGAGACAGTGCAGCAACATCTTCAAGGTACTGAATGAAAAACAAAAACCTGACAATCTAGAATTCTATATTGAGGGACAAAATCGGCCTGTGTGAGAAAATAATTGAGAAGTAAAATGAATGCCCAAGCAACATGGGATTCAGGCACACGAGAGACCCAACTTAGGGCTGATAGAATGAGCACACACGCTAGAGTCAGAAGATTGAAATTTCAGCCCTGCCTTCACCAAGCTATGAATCCCTCATCCCGGGGAATTTAACTCCGGTCCGAGATTCAGTTTCTGCATCCATAAAATCAAGAAGATGCAAACCCCTGACCTAGGCATTTCTTGGAGTTGTTCTTAGGATCAAGTGAGTTAACAGACACGGAAGAGTTGGCAGCTATAGAGCGCTGTGTAAATATTGTCATGAGGGGGTGTGTGAGCAAGGAATGGAGAGAGGAAGGACTGAAAAGGAAGAAGAGTTTCTGACCTGGAAACCAGAAAGAGTAAGAGTTTCCGGTCTGTTTGAAAGGAGTTTTGTATCTGTCGTCATTCAGTTAGGTAGCGCAAAATCTGGACAAGGCATCAGGAAACCTGATTTATATTCCCTGGCCCTCCTGCCAGCTGAATGACGGTTAAGTAACTCACTTGCACATGAGTGGCTGACTAGATTCCTTGTGTCGACTCTCTGTGACACTTATTTTTGGTTAACAGTTAATTATCTTTTAAAGAAGATAATGTTTTTCAATGTTGTTTTAGAGAGAGAGAATCTCAGGAAGTCTCTACGCAGAGCATGGAGCAGGAGAGAGAGAGAGAATCCTTTTTTTTTTTTTAAATATATATATATAATTTATTGTCAAGTTGACTAACATACAGTAAGTACAGTGTGTTCTTGGTTTTGGGGATAGATTCCCGTGATTCATTGCTTACATACAACACCCAGGGCTCATCGCAACAAGTGCCCTTCTCAATGCCCATCACCCATTTTCCCTAGAGAGAGAATCTTAAGCAGGCTCCACTCAGTGTGAAAAAATGATACCAGATGGAAATGTAGATCTACAAAAAGAATGAAAAGCACCAGAAATGGTAACTGAATGGGTATACTTGTAATTTAAAAAATTTTCTTCTTCTTTATGGGGCTCCAGGGTGGCTCAGTCAGTTGAGGGTCTGACTCCTCATTTGAGCTCAGGTTATGATCCCAGGGTTGTGGGATAGAACGAACCTCCCACTGTGGGGCTCCGCAACAAATCATTTTTCAAAGCTAATTCATTGGTAGCCCATTTGCCAAATGATTGGAAGAGAGAATGGCCAATTTACAAAATCTACCTAATTTACTAAAACCGTCTAATATTTAAAAATTTTTCAACATCTATGGGTGTATTGAGGACTTGCTGTAAGTCTGCTGTTGTGCTAAGCACTGTACACACTGCCTTCTCTTATGAAGTCATATGTTGCTACTAAAGCTCACAGAGGCTAAATGACTTGGCCAGAGTCACGGTGTATCGGTGGCAGAACTGAAATTGAAAACCAAGCCTGCCTGAATCCAGTATCTGATTTCTCAACAACTCCTGTATGTAACCCAACCTGTTTTATAAGAACTACTGATTTTTTTATGTGCCAGGCACTCTAGATTCTGCACATGAGTTGTATCACTTATTATTTACAAATCTGAGCCATCAGAGACTTTTCCTAGAGAAGATTCAGAGAAGCTATACCACAAGTCATTTTAGGACTCTCCTCTGTTGGGAACCCTCCAGTAGGCTCCCCTCCTACTAAAAGTCTTCACGATGAACTACATACAGCGGCCAACCCAATACCTCCCTGAGCTCACGGCCCACTGCTCTCCGTGCTGCTCCCTTTCTACTCTCTTCACTCAAGCTGGCTATTCCTTGAACACTCCAAGGGTTCTCCTGCAGGTCCCTCTTAAGATGTTGTTTCTCCTTCAGGTTTCATTCACATATCACATTATTCTAAGTGTGGCCTTTCATGACATCCACAAAAGTTGTACCCACCCCATTCTTTTTTTCTATAGTTCTATCACTAATTTACTATGTAGTTTTAAATTGCCTTTCCCCACTCAAAGGAGACCAGGGAATTTTTACTACTATGCCCATCTCTATGTCTCTTGTACCTGGGACAAAATATACACTCAAAATTTATCGGTTGAATTAAACATTTGCTCAAGGCCACAGAGTGTGAACTGGGTACTGAACTCAGCAGATGATCCCTAAGACCATGCTCTTTCCATTGCATAAAATGTGCTAATGATGCCAGGAAAACACATGTTCCAGTGAGCTTGGTTTTGGGAACAAGGGCCTCACAGGACCCGAATTTTGTTTGATAGGCCTCAGAAACACTTGGAACGTTATGGAGCTTCTACAGCCACATTCATAGCAGTAAGTGCTGAGAATGTGTAGAAGGCCAAAACCAGAGCAGAGTGGACAGAAGCAGATGGAAGTGGAAAAGCGACAGAAGCAAATTGCAGATGATGAAGACTGGCGAACCCCCACAAAAAGTTGTGAAAGCCAAGAGGTTGGGTAGTCAACAATGTTGGATGATAAAAACCAAAACTGAAGTTAAAAAGCATAACAGGACTTTGGGATTTAGGCCAGCATCAGGATCTCAAGAGACTTTTTTGTGGGAATTTCAGAGGGAGTGCCAAACTTAGAAGTCAGAATGCTGACATTTATGAGCTACTTAATTAAGGCAAAGTTGCTTCCTATTTAGAAAAAAAACAAGGCCAAATGTTTAAACGTTTATCTTCAATGTTCTCTCTACCTGAATTTTAGAATCAAAAATACTAAACTACTACTGTTTTTCTCCAGAAGTAGCAGACAGAAGAAAAAAAAAATTACCTTTTAAGGCAAACAATTTTGGCATATATTCACTAGGATATTTAACTGTTCTGTGACAACAGATTTCCCTTTACTGGAAACATGACCCCTTAACAATCTTAAGTTTTTTCCCCTTCCTTAGGGGAAACGATTGGGATTAACACATTGTTACTGTTCTCTATAAACTCCAAGGCCAGTGTCCTTTTCCACAAGATAAAGCTGCTTCAAATGAAGTCGTGATTAAAGGTCATGATGGCCCATTTCCACTCCGGGAGGAACAATGCCCAGTTGGGCCCACAAAGCTTGGCTGTGGATTGCAGGCAAACACCACCCCCACCCCTAAAATGGGCCCCACCAAGTCAGGGACCTAATGTGTTCACATTTTGATGTAATTTCACTACTGAAAAATAGCTATTAAGTTTGGTTAATATCTAAATACACCTTAGCATGACCTTCAACAGAACAGAATTAAACCAACTAAGTAAACAATGGCTCTCTTGCAAAAGTTCAGCTTTTTTTTTTAAGTTTGAGAGAGAGAAAGAGAGAGAGAGAGCGAGCAGGCAAGTGCACACACAAGCTAGGGGAGAGGCAAAGAGAGAGAATCCCCAGCAGCCTCCATGCTGTCACAGAAGCCTGACACGAAGCTTGATCCCAGGAACCACGAGATCATGACCTGAGCCAAAATCAGGAGTTGGATGCTTTAACCAACTGGGCCACCCAGGCACCCCTCTATTTATTTTTTAACATTTATTTTTTGAGAGACAGAGAGACAGAGTGTGAGCAGGGCAGAGGCAGAGAGAGAGGGAGTCGCAGAAACTGAAGTAGGTTCCAGCTCTGAGCTGTCAGCACGGAGCCTGGCGCAGGGCTAGAACTCACAAACGCAAGATCACGACCTGAGTTAAGTCGGATGCTTAACTGACTGAGCCAACCCAGGTGGCCCTCTATTTCAGTTTTTATACAGAAACAAAGCGAGGCCTAGCTCAGAGAAGTTATCCCTGATTTGGAAATCTTCTAAAACAATAAAGATATCAGTAAAATACCCTCTACTACCCCAAACTGGGCATACCCCAAACACAACTGTACTTTCCTAGTTTACGCTTTACTTTGGTGGTGGGTGTTTATAAGTGAGATTGCAGCCAAACAATTGTTCTCCCTTTAAAAAACGTGTAAAGTATGTTTTTTGGTTGTGTTAGGTCTATATGATGTATGTGTACATGGTCACTACTGCTACATTCTCAGCAAGATGCAGAGTGGTGTATTTTCAGGAGAAAATTTTTAGTCGTGTGGTTTATAAGCCACAGTCTGCTTGCTTTCTCTTTGGTTTCCCTCCGAAGGTCAACAGACACGTCTTACCTTGAATTATTCTTTTTCTCCCCCTCCCCTATGTTGAATTATTCTTGATGAACTCATTACTTAACTACTAAATGATCTTTACATAAAAGCAGAGCTTGCAGGGCACCTGGGTAGCTCAGTCGGTTAAGCGTCTGACTTTGGCTCCGGTCATGATCTCGCAGTTGGTGGGTTCAAGGCCTGTGCGTCCGACTCTGTGCTGACAACTCAAGAGTCAGGAACCTGCTTCGGATTCTGTGTCTCCCTCTCTGCCCTTCCCTCACTCACGCTTTCTCTCAAAAATACACAAATATGAAAAAAATTCTTAATATTAAAAAAAACCCCACAGCTTGCTACCCTCATCATATAACTTTTCTAACAAACCATAATATTAATTCCTGGCCAGTGAGTCCAGTAATATATTAACTTTAAATAATATTTGTGTTACTGAACTAAAGAAATGCTTTCAAGTGAAATCTAGCATTGTGTTCTCAAAGTACCAAAAGATCCCAATAGTCTTGACTTTATTGTAAAGGAAAATGTGAGGTTCTAGCTACCAAAACAGGGTAACAAATCTTTTTTTTAAAAATGACAACAGTAAATATTTAAGAGATTTATTAAAGCATCTTATCACAAAGATGGAAACACATACAAATTAGAAACGTGCAACCGTCATCTTCCACAGTCAAGTTAAAATGGTATAGATTTTTCCTGTTTTCATAGCCGAAAACTTCAGATCTTATACCCAACTTACTCACCCTGAATATTTTAGTCATTCTTCCTGAAAGTACCCAGGGCAGCAAATAACCAAAATGCAAACTATTATATAAAGAAAGTGCAAAGTTACAAAAGAAAATGTGTAGAGAACACCCCCATCCCTCCCCCCTTTCAAGGCAAACAATGGCACTTTGCTCTTGCTTAACCTAGATTGTCTTCAAAAACACTATTAAAATGTAATAGACATAACGGTAAAAAAAAAAAACCAAAATAAAACCGACTTCGAATAGATGTCAAAAAAGCTTGTTAGTGTTTGAAAATAAATGCTTAAACAAAGGAAAGTGTATTTTATATCAAACAAGTTTGAAGAGCCCTGTATTGCAGCATTCTGTAAAATAAACAAGACGAAAAGCTGGTATAGGGTTTATTGACAAAGGCAGAACTTCTTCAGGCAGGTATGTAAGGAGGCGGTGGCTCTTTCTCAGGCATCTTCACTGCCATTTCATAGGTTGGCAAAACATACTGAAGAGAGAAACAAATTGTATCAGACTTAAATCACCTTGAAAAATTCCTGTCTGGAATAATTCAAATGCTTTCCGAGTTTAGCTGAAGAAACTATTAGCTAAAAAGTTCCTGAGCGTAACTGAGGTGATCCAAGACTGCTAAAGAGGGAGGGGCAAAGGAAGGGAAGATGGAGTTTTGCTTCTGAACTGACCGGAGGCCACCAGGGCACCTTGACAGGAAGTAGGTAGCACCGTTCTCCCCTCTTCCCTACAGTGTGACTGACAGAACCAGTGCCTCAGGGGCTGCAAATCCAAGTTAAGGGCACCACTGACCCATGCTAAAGGAAGCCTCCATTAAGATGCTGGATCCTGAATTTCATCAGAATCTGTAATTCAAGGGCCAGGTACTTTTATATCATTTCTTCTAGGGTAAAGGGCACATCTATGTAAGAGTGGCATTCCAACCTAAGTGACTCAAGTGTGAGAGGCGGGCCCTACATGGGCCACATGTTTTCTACATGTTGAAAACCTGGGAAGATAATACAGCAGCAACTAAAGGGTCCCAGGAAGGAGACCTCCCCACAGACTCCTGGAACCCACTGCATTCATCTCCCCACAGAAAATTCAGCTCCCCCTTTTGATCGTGTGGATGTTTTTTAAAAGCAACACAAGCTGTAAATGACGGTACCCCATCCTTAGAGGTTCCAGAAGCCACAAGCCTGGCATGGCTCACACGGCTGTTTCCTGTCTGATCTCCTCTGCAAAATGCAACCCTTTTCAAGACTACCTACGAGTCCAACCTAACAGTCAAACTGAATGAGCAGAGCAGTGCAGGGTGTCTCTCACCCATGTAGCCAGGTTTCCAACTGGGAAATGTTACATCTTGTGGATTTAAGCTATCTGTGTCCTAAACCACATACACGGCATTGAAGAGCCAGTCAAGACCTAGGCTCATTAAGAATGATCAATAACAACTACTGAAGATTTAATGTATTAAAAGATCGTTCACCTGTGGAGGTGCTTCGAAGGCAGGGTACACAGCAATCTCCGGCATGTTCCTGTTGTTGATGTATTTATAGCAGTTCCAAACACAGTTGATTAGATATGCCTAAAAGAACACAAACAAAACTGACACATGCCAGAAACTCAGCAGACTACCTGCTCTAAAATTAAGGTGACTTCTAATGCTTTTCCGTGTACTTTCTCCCTGGAAAAGGGAATGGACACCCATTTGGACCTAGCACAAGCCAGGCCCTCTGCCTACTTGCCCCCACTCAAATATCCCAAGCTTTATTAATATCATTTTACAGAGAAACCAGAACTGGGGTTGCAATTCAGGTCTGATAACCATTGTGCTGCCAAGGAAATTCTGTCTCTGAACCTTTGGAATGTGAACAGATTTTCAATTAAATCATGAGCTACTTCTAAAAACATAATGATGTTCTTTACACTTAGGAAGGATCCTGGTATTTCCAATCACTCTCTGGAAATGAGAAGGACATCACCTAGGTGTTATCTTTACTACTATGTCCGAATAAACACTATCACTTAACTGTTGGAACTATGAGGAGAAAAGACAACAAAAAGGTTTAGATGAACAGTGTCACAGCCCAAATATTTAGTTCAGCAACTCACCTTAAAAATGATGAATAAGGTAAAGAACACAAGAACAATGAAGAGGAGGCAGCTGGAGTCCAATGCCAAGAGGTCATCTTTGTAGGGAAAATCAGGCTATAAAAAAAGGGGGTGGAGAGGTGAACAGGCAGAGGAAAGAAGATATTTAGGGCAGGGACACTACCCTCTAGGATAGCGCAGTGATGAATACACATCATTACACACTTGTCCAAATCTGCAGAATGTAAGTGAACCCAGTGTAAACTAGGAACTCTCGGTGATAACGATGTGTCAGTGTAGGTCCATCAATTGTAACAAATGCACCACTACGGTCTGGGATGTGGACAGTAAGGGAGGAAAGGGCGTGCTTTCTATTCGATTTTGCTGTTAACCTAAAACTGCTCGAAACCATTAAGTTTATTAACCAAACACATACACATTCACTCATAATTCAGCTATGGCAGCTGCATGTTGTGACAGTCTAGAGAGCATCTTAAAAATACAAACAGGCACCAAAGTCAGAACTGATATTCTAATAAAAACTAGTAAACAGAATTGAACTCACTGTACCTTTAAGCCTCATCATCATGAATGCATGCTACTGAACACCTCAAATGCATTTGAATTCTGCTGTATGAGCTGAGCTCATCTTTCCTCTTCCCTGTTTTACATTTTGCTGGCCTTTGGAAAAAGATGATCTCCTGTATGCAACTGCAGACTTGTCCCTGAGTTGCTAAGTTACGAAGTGCTAAGGCTTACCTAAGTTTCAGGGGTCATTTAGTCCTACGTGGGGAAATTAATTTTTCTAAGAGCCAACTGTCAGTCTCAATGCTCATCAGAAAGGGGCAAAAAGAAGGCATGCCCCTGGTTATAAAGGCAGGTAAGATTCTGTGGCTTACTGCAGACTTACTATGTTCCATTGTGAAGGGTTCAACTTTATTTACTCATTAAGCTAGGTTCCAGGAGAAGGGTACTACAAAGGAATAATTTATGATTTATAAGCTGGCCAAAAAAGAAAGTATTGCCACTCTGAGAGACCAAGTGAATATAGCGACAGAGTGGAGAAACCACTGGGGTCTATAAAAGGAATACTAAAAAAAATTCACCCTAAAGTTTTCCTATAAAACTCATTTAATTTTTAAAAACATATCTGTTTTTAACGGAAATGTAAATACAAAGGCCCAAATAATTTTCAAAAATAAGCAGCATGTAAAAATCCCAAAGGACTGAAAAAGAAAAAAGCATCCACACACCAACTCCAAACACAGCTGTCTCCTTGGGACAAAACTGTTCTTTAAACCTTTATTATAAATAAAAGGACAAAAATTGAATGAGACCAGCTCATGGGGAACGCTACAGATTTTATTCAGAAAGCTTGCAATCTTTCAGCCAAACACGACATGACAAGACAAGAGATCTAGAATGAGGAAGTTTCTGACCACGGCCAACCAGGACACCAGGCCCTGCCCCCAACCCCTTCTCTCTAGCTCATCATGTACGTGCTGCTTCCCTCCCTTTCTCTATGTGGCAGGCACCATGGTCCCCTTTTAGTCCTCTGACTATACCATGTTCCTTCCTGCCTCAAGGGGTCTCTGACCTGGGACATTTGCTCCTATATTTTCCCTATCTTAATTCCTACTACACTCTTGAGTGCAATTCAAGTCTCGCTTCCCAGCCCAGGTCTGATATCGGTATGATATCCACTCACGCAGCCAATACTTTTCCTTCACAGTTTTACTGCAGTAATTGTCAATTAATTTTCCAATCCCTTTACTAGCAAATGAGTTCTACTGATGTATCCCAAGAACCTAGCAGAATGCCTTGCACAGAAGCAGCAATCACCAAATGTTTTCTGAATGAATAAATTTGGTGGTACACAAGATACAATAGGCAGGATATCTGCCAAGTCGGGAGAAAATTCCTAACGACAGCATTTTTGAAATGAACTTCCATTTATCTGGACTTCACACCTCCTTGCAGACCTTACTCCAACCCAGAGGGTTCCCTACCCCTCCATCACAGGGCACTAATCTAAGCTCCTCACTGAATGCTGTGTAACAGTTATAGTTCATTAACACAGATAACATCTTCATGTCTTAACTCCCCCAATTCATGTCTGCTCGAGAGAGAGAGGAAGTTATGTTTATGTTTGTATCTACACCATTCACCAATAATTTGCCTTGAATGGAGGGAAGGATACAGTAAGCACTCAAATATTTGCTATTGATGCCGGCAAATTAAAAAGGGGAGAAGCAAAAATGGCATCCAGTGTTTGCATTGCAGCAAGCTGTTGTAGAGGCCGAGCACACCCCAAGCAGCTGGAGGGGCCTTACCAAGCTCCTCCCCTGGGAACTACATTCAGCAGCTCAGCATCCAGCCTGAACAGCTCTGAACTGGGTGTGTGAGCCTTTGTGCTTTACCTCTATTTATTTTGGGCATCTGTTAGCAAGACGTGCCCTTGGGTGTCAGAAAAGACTAAGATTACTTTTGGGGTCTGGGAACAAACATTTACAACATTTCAGCTTACAGAAGATTTTAAAGGAATGCGCTTTTGGATAGAAGGGGAAGCCTGTATAGCCAAGTGATTATAGTACCGATATACTCAAAACAAAAGTTGAACTACTCCTTAAGTTCTATGATATCCACCTTTAGAGGCTTTTCAAAAAAATATTTATTTATTTTGGGGGAGGGGTGAAGGAGCAGAGAGACAATCCCAAGCAGGCCCCACTATCAGCACAGAGCCCAATGTAAGGCTTGATCTCATGAACCATGAGACCACAACCTGAGCCAAAATCAAGAGTCAGAAGCTCAACTGAATGAGCCACCCCGGTGCCCCATATTTAGAGACTTTTAATACTAGAATATCCAAGTAGCACGGTAAGAAAATATCCTATGTATATTACTGGCTTTAACAAGGTAGTTAAGAGGAGCAATAATTATTTTGAAACACTTTTAAAAATAAACAGGGTAGATTAAAATAAAAATAGCACCAAAAGCTGACTCAAAATTTTGATTTACATACTGTACTTAAAATGAAGAGAAAAAGTTTAATTAGTATACACACTTACTAATTGATCCAGATACTCTTTGATTCTTGGCAAGTAAGTGAGAGAACTGATAGCAACCAGACAACTGAGAACGAAGTCAAAAAGCCGGTAGCAGAAGAATGGAATCAGCCAACCCACTTGATACTGAAGAAAAAAAATAATCACAACATCACAACACAAATATGAAATATTAAGTGCCACTCAGTAAAGGTCAAACTCAAAGTCAAAAATATAGGGTACTTACAGAAATTGCTCCATATACCAGCATTGAACTGATGATAAACATAAGAACAGAGACAGCAAAAAGAACACAGGCATTATCTAAGAAAACAAAAAAAAAAATCTAATTAAGCTACTTATGCAACAAAAAAAACCCCAAAACTCTTCATGACAAAATGTTTTTTGTTTTTTGGGGGTTTCTTTTAAAGTTTATTTTTATTTATTTTGAGAGAGAGAAGACACAGAGAGCAAGGGGGAGAGGAGCAGAGAGAGAGGGGGAGACAGATTCCCAAGCAGGCTTCTCACTATCAGCACAGAGTCTGATGTGGGCCTGGAACTCACGAAACCATGAGATCATGACCTGAGCCAAAGTCAAGAGTCAGAGGCTCAACCAACTGAACCACTCAGGCACCCCAACAAAATTACGTGTTAAAGCTAGCTTAAAAAAAAAATGAGTATTTTCCAGAATGCCTCCGAAAAAAACCTAAAGCCAAGAGAGTTTAAAAAAAAATAAAAAATCCATCTCAGCATTAAGTAATGAAGTTTTGAGGAATTCACCCTTTGTTTTTGTTTATTAAATTGCTACAACTCATTGACTCTTATCATCAACCAGTCACTCTGCTAGGGAGACAGGTCTCTGCCCAGAGCCTAAGAGTCTGAAGGCATGCAGATAATGATAATCCAATGTGGCAAGTGCTACATTGGATTAGCTGTCCTTGGGGAATCAGGGAAAAAATATGGAAGAAATGACACATGTTGGGTCTTGTGAAATGAGCAAGGTTCAACAGGAGGGAAAGGCTGGTATCTGCTTAAAAGACACATAAACTCAGAGCACTACAGCTGCCCTCTCTGGCCTCAAGAGAAAATATAGAGATTCAAGGTTCTCCATTAACCTCCTCTCTCTTACGCCAACATGGGAACTCCCTGCTCCCCACTCCTTGCCCTTGATTTCTCCACTGCTTTAACAAGCCCATTTTCTTCTTTGTTCTTCACCTGTCTCCTTCCTCAAGGTTATCCAAATTCATTAATTACCTCACAAAACACCTGAGTAATTTCAACACTACTAAGCCACACTTGAGAGGTTTTTTTTAGCAGATCTAAAGTTAATTCTTTGACTCTGGATAGATATTAAGAACCAGAAAGGCACTAATGATGATTAGAATAACTGCTGGATATCACACATGATATCATGTATCATCTTGTCACTTGGAAGTATAAACATCATCAGTATTTGGTGCTAAGTTAAGGGCCGTCTTTAGATTTTTCTAGAGGATATAGGATATCCTTTAGATACCCTGTAGCAAAAAAGGGGAAAAATGGAATAACAGGTGAAAAATACATACACAATACCTAGAGCGAGACACTCCAATATTTTTGGCTCAATAAAGCAAACAAAATATGAGGGCTAAACGCACAGATATGAACCTCAGGTTTCCATCCACCACCACATTCAAAAACCTCCTCCAGGGGGCCCCAAGTGTTCACCCGTTACCAAAGTGAATAAAATTAAGGTTAAATTCACATTTGAAAAGCAGCTTGTATATGTTGCAGAAGCATTTCATATATATTGAGGGTCATATTCTGTTTAGCTGACTAACTGCAAACCTCATTATTTACAATCAGCCGCAGGCCAATGATCAGAAATTAACTTGCCATTTTAACACTGCGCCTGTGGGAGGGTCAACGTTCCACTTCCGTTAGAGACACAAACTACTGTATGACCAAGAACTACACATTTTTATGTTCTCTCAAAAAAGGTTTTGGCGGAACTAGAATCAACAAAAGTATGCTAACTCAGTATCTGATTCCCACTACGGTGGCCACGGCAGCCATGCAGCATGCAGTAAAACCTGTGGCTTCATCCCTGCAGCTCCAGCCACAGCATAAGAATGTCAACAGCCATAAATCTTTTTCTACACCTTGATTTAAAGAGAAACACAAGCTGACACTGCATGCTGAAAAATGCCAACATTAGCAGGTTTTATATAATTTTACAGCCTAAAATACCAAAAACAGGCATTAAAAACTAAAGTTTTATTCATCGTTGTATTTTGGTTTTTATTTTAAATAGAGAAACAGACTACTTAAGAAAAAACAAACTCCAGAAGGGAGGTTTCTAATATGCTCTTGGTATTTCTTTTACCACACTTGACAACATAATTAAAGGATTATAAAGATCTGAATGGACACTCAGTAGACACATTTTTATTTATTTTTTTTAGTAGACACATTTTTACAAAGCACTTAAAGGGGAGCCTGGGTGGCTCAGTCGGTTAAGCATCCAACTTTTTGTCTCGGCTCAGGTCATGATCTTGCAGTTTCATGAGTTTGAGCCCCGTGTCAGGCTCTGTGCTGGCAGTGTGGATCCTGCTTAGGACTCTCTCTCCCCTGCTCTTTCTGGCCCCCCACTACACTCACACTGTCTCTCTCTCAAAATAAATAAACTTAAAAAAATTATTTTAAAGCACAGTGTAAAAAACTGTTAGTGATTTCATACTGTAATGTCAACAGATGCCCACAAAACTCTACTTGAATCCTAGAAAAGGCAGCTGGCCCTGTAGACAGTGAATTATTTAAATTAACAACCAATTTTTATTTATTTTTAAGTAGGCTCCACACCCAACACGGAGCTTGAACGACAACCCTGAGATCAAGAGTCACGTGCTCTAACAACTGGACCAACTAGGTGCCCCCACAACCAAATTTTTTTAAAAAACAACTTCATAAGCTTATGGGAAGACCATAAATTTAATGAAGCTCAAGAACTTACAATAAAAGCTAATAAAACTAAAAATATGGTAACTTAAATCCTATAATATTATAAATACAACTTACACATGAGAACTCAGAACATTTTTCTGAAGTGAAATTTAAAAAAATCAACACGCAAAAAAGCTGTTCATACTGCAAAGTTTGAGGCATAATTTTCTGTTCGAACATTAAATTTCTATTCATAATATACAATCTTAACTAAAATATTTCTGAACCTGTATTTTAAATTTTAATGCTTATTTATTAAAAAAAATTTTTTTAACGTTTATTCAGTTTTGAGAGACAGAGCACGAGAGGAGCAGAGAGAGAGGGAGACACAGAATCTGAAGTAGGCTCAAGGTTCTGAGCTGTCAGCACAGAACCCAATGCGGGGCTCAAACTCATGAACCATGAGATCATGACCTGAGCCCAAGTCGGCCACTTAACTGAGACACCCAAGTGCCCCATTAATGTTTATTTATTTTTGAGAGGAGAGAGAGACAGAGTGAGAGCAGGGAAGGGCAGAGAGAGAGAGAGAGAGGGAGACACAGAATCCGAAGCAGGCTCCAGACTCTGAGCTGTCAGCACAGAGCCCCACACGGGGCTCGAACCCACAAACTATAAGATCATGACCAGAGCCGAAGTCTGACACTTAACCAACTAAGCCACCCAGGCACCCCTGCTCCTGTGTTTTAGAGAAAGGTAAATAATGAAAATGTTACTGGAGAGTAAACAGGTTTAAAAAGGTAATTTACATGAATGTCTTCTATTTCTAACTCCAACAGTGTCTTTCTTCATCTAAATGATAGATATATATTTAGAATTGTGACCCTGAGCAAAAGATATCACCAAATATTCCAATAATTCATATTTCACATGTTCCTGTAAGCCTATTTGCTCCCATCCTCTACTACACTTGCTAGCTGACCTTCAGAGACTCACAAGTCTTTTTGTAATTTCTTCTTATCATCTCCACAGCACCAGATAGGAATCAAAGGTATACAATGTATATTTCTCAAAAATCTAGTAGTCCATAGCATTTTCTGGGCAAAAGTGCTCAATTATAATTCTCACTGAATAATTTGAAAAACCCACAAAAACACTTTTATGCCTCAGCAAGTAAAATAACTTAACAATAATTTAATCAATTCTCTGAATAGTGTGTGTGATTAAAGGATATATTTTCACCTAAAAACATACCAGCCATTCTCTCAGATGAATAGTAATTGCCAATGACTTCATACTGAATGTTGACAGCTGGCATTGAGTTTGGATGAGTTACTTCCACAGTCAGCAAAATTGCCATCAATAGGTTTACCACCTGTGAAAGATAAGATGTTTGGTATCTGTTATATTATTCATCAGGAAACAGTCTTCACAATCTTCGGATGTCTTTCCATATTTAAAATGTTTTACTTGCAGTAACAAAGACAGAAAATAACAGATTAACCTGTAGATAAAATAGTATGCAATACCATAGAAGAACAGCTGAAAAATAATTATTTCCTAAAGTATAAACTTAATTGTTTCAGAGAAAAGATGTATTGCCTGAACTTGCGTTAATATCAACAAAATGGCAAAATGATTAAAAGGAATCATTACAGATTGTTCATGTTTATTCATACACCGATCTCAGAATTTCTGAGTTTGAAGAAGCCACAGTTCATCCAACATTACTTATGTAATACCATCAGTTAAGAATATAGTGATCCAGCAGGCTTACCTCACTACCTCCTCTCTGCTCTCCTCTATACACATGCTCCAGTTTGTTGGACATACCATTAAAATGAGGTTAAGATCAGCTTGGTCAGAGCACAGCAGGGTCTCAGCCGCTAGAGCCTAAGCTAACAAATTTCAATGAAAGCCAATTCGCACTGGCTTCATAAATTTTTGGAATGTTACATGACAGCAACTCCCTAAAACCCTTCATTCTTTTTCACACTTGATCCTGCTAAGCTACCACCTGAACCTGTACAGTTAGTTGGATTCTAATCTGTACAGTTAGTATAAGGGCTTGATACATTTGCAATGGAATTTCATCTTATATTCTTGCCTGTCAAGATTTTCTGGCGGACACCCCACAGATTTACTATCTTGTTTTTTAGCTTCCAGCATTTAAAAATATGATCAGCATGTAATTAGTATCTCCACCTCAGTCACTGGAAAAGAGAACCAGGCCAAGCACAGGAGGCGTCCTCTTCCCATTAATCAGCAATCTTTGAACAGAATTCTTTATCTCGTTCAGAGAAACATCTTGAGACTTTGTCAAATTTCCTGCTGCAATTCCATCATAGTATCTGTTGAGTTTTTCTAGTTTACCAGGGTTGTAACTCTATTTGAAGCGGTAATTATTTATGCCTCCAGTGGTTAAAGAATCCCTGCAGTATGCCAGGAGGCACCGCTTCTTGAAGTGCTCAAAAACAGTCCTGTTAATGATTCAATAGAGAAAACCACCTAGGCTTGGAGTTAGGCTTCCCTATCTAAAGTGCACAGAAACATATCCTCCCCTCCCTTTGTAAAAATCTGAGCATTTGATGCTTTTAAGGTATGTTAGAGCCTTGACCATCAACTGTACTTTGAACAAACTCTATTACATAGCTCTCTCCTATCCACCATGAATGATAAATGATTTTATCAGCTGGAGGCACTGCACATTCTCTGTGACATGCAAACCAATTTTAATCAAAAAGGTTAGGGGATCTAAACAATACCAAATACAGAATCAACTGACATTTATTGAGAATATACTGTATACTAAGCATATTCACATACAGTATATTATTTCACTTATTCCTCCCAACCACCTGCTGAAGTAAATATTACTAAAGCCCATTTGCAGATGAGGAAACTAAGTTTCAGCATGCGAAATAACTTGTGTTACAGAGGACAAAGGTTAGAGCAAGGACACAAACCTGACTCCATTTAAGACAACCAGCTTCTTAGCACCACAGGATTACTTATACCAATTCCTAAGCAACTCCTGTTTTGAGGCCTTTCCAGAAGACGCTATTATCTAAGGCTATGTTTATACTTTACTGTCCAAATAAATATGTTCAGTAACATACCTTTTCCCTTGCATTGCTCAAAAGCAAGGTACTTTATCCTTCAACTCTTGAAAGGTCTTACACAGGACAATCATATTTGCAAGGTGGCTCCCCAGTTGAAGGCTGATGTTAGTTGCGATGGGTGTGCGACCCGCATTTTTACTGCAATGGGTTTTGGCTAGTGTGTGGTATAGGAGTAGGAGCTAATACAACTAGGTGAATTAATTATTGAACAATCAGATGTATCTACTGAAGCCTTATAGAAATCAGTTTGAAATCAATCCAGCAAATTATTTTTTGCTAAACACTATACAGTCATAGTTAAATAGCTCTGCACAGGGACACCTGGGTGGCTCAGTCAGTTAAGCATCTATCTGACTCTTGCTTTTGGCTCAGGTCAAGATCTCACAGTTCATGCATGAGTTTGAGTCCCATATCCGGCTCCATGCAGACAGCAAGGTGCCTGCTTGGGATTCTCTCTATACTTCTGTCTCTGCCCCTCCCCTGTGAGCTCTCTCTTTCAAAATAAATAAACTTAAAAGAGTAGCTCTGCATAGTACAGAAAAACAGTCTCATGTCAAGAAAACTATGCAAACTCAATTACTAGATGAAGGAAATGACACAACCGAAATATTTAGGAGTTTAATTTTCCCTTCTTAAATATTTTTACTGCATGTAGGACTTATAAAAATGTATTTTCTCTGGAGCACCTGAGTGGTTCAGTCAGTTGAGCATCCAACTCTCAGTTGCAGCTCAGGTCATGATCTCATGGTCATGGGATGCAGCACTGTGTTGGGCTCTGTGCTGGCAGCTGCGGAGCATGCTTGGGATTCTCTCTCTCCCCCTCTGCATGGCCCTCCCCCTCTCATGCTGTCTAACAGAAAAACTTACAAAACAACTTTTTAAAAATCTATTTTTCTTCTCATAGATAAGCCACAGACTCGCAGTGACACTTCAAATCTCATTTCACTGTCACAGCCCTGAGTATTAAACAAAAGTCAAAGATCTAATCAAAAGGACCAAGAAAGGATAAATAAAATAAATTGCAGTGCTACTTCTTTAAAAGCTCACACTTCTTCAAATCTTCACTGAGTTAATATATTCTAGGGGCGCCTGGGTGGCTCAGTCAGTTGGGCATCTGACTTTGGCTCAGGTCATGATCTCGCAGTTCGTGGGTTCGAGCCCCGCATCAGGCTCTGTGCTGACAGCTCAGAGCTCAGAGCCTGCTTCAGATTCTGTTGTCTCCCTCTCTCCCTGCCCCTCCCCTGCTTGCTCACGCTCTCTCTCTCAAAAATAAAATAAACATTAAAAAAATCTGGGGCGCCTGGGTGGCACAGTCGGTTAAGCGTCCGACTTCAGCCAGGTCATGATCTCGCGGTCCGTGAGTTCAAGCCCCGCATCGGGCTCTGGGCTGATGGCTCGGAGCCTGGAGCCTGTTTCCTATTCTGTGTCTCCCTCTCTCTCTGCCCCTCCCCCGTTCATGCTCTGTCTCTCTCTGTCCCAAAAATAAATAAACGTTGAAAAAAAAAAATTAAAAAAAAATTATATTCCATTATGTCAGTATATTTCATTAAAATCTCAACTTTCATTTTAAATATTAACCTGGAAAATCCATCCTTGTGATCTTAAAAGACTTACCACTGAGCACCCACCCTGTGCTCGTATTTAGGCCCTGTGCTATTTAATTACAGTCCCTTGAACTGTAGCATTTTTAAAAAAATATATAAAATTGACTTTACAGTTTTGCAATATAAAATTTGGTATAAAATTTCTCTGAATAATAGCCAGTATGTACAATTTCTTAATATTTATTCCCAATTTTTTCCTTTTACTATATTCAGGAAAAAAACCAAAAATGTAATTTAAATAATGATTAATTTCTAAACCTCATAATATGGAGGTACAGAAGACAGCAAACATGTTAACAGCACGAGCTACAAACATACCATTCAATGTAGAAGCAGTCCTGTGCATTTATTAGGTTAAATTATGTGGTTTACATGGTTTTTGCAAGCCTTCTGCACACCTTGTATAAGTAAACAAAGAATTAACAAAAGCCAGATGTGTTGGATTTTACTTGTTACAGAGATACGGTTACCAGGCTACCAGGCCCAGGCCCACGGAAGCCCTGGGCCTCAGAAGAGGAATTCCTCTTTGCTTTCTCCTCTTGCTGCCACACCCATCCCAGATGATTCTTTGGGGGCTGGTTTTTGTTTTAAATCATTATTCTTTAGGTTTGCAAAGCACATTCTGCCACCACCCAGTATCTGCTGAGACTATAAAACAAAGTGTGTGCTTCAGGCCATCCTGATAAGGGTCTCACAGGCAGAGAGAGTCTCCACTGGGAGCCAGTCAGCAAAGCACTGCCAGCTGATAAAGATCAAAATGGCCAACCTCCAAAAATTCTGTTACATGTTTCACATATATATAAGCCTCCTGTTGTTTACTGGTAGTTACAAATGTGCAGTACAAATGAGTTATTCCTACTATATTTAAGAGGTGGCAATTAATTTAACAAATGTCTAATGAATACTTCAAATGTTCTAATTAACAAGCTAGCTGCTATACACCTTTATAGAAAAAGACCTATCATCTTTCTCCCTCAAGAACATCTTGTGGGGGAGAAAAATGAAAAGATAATCATTAGTAATCATGTAATAAGTAGTATTTAATAAGTACATACAAATAGTATAAAGAAACTTTTCCAGATACACAGTGAGGAAACCAGATCCCTCTGGCTGAGAAATAAAAAAAGCTTCACCAAGAAAACAGCTGGGCTAACCATTAAAAAATGAAATGGAACTGGCAAAATGCTATTAACAGTGGAAGCTGGGTGATGAGTAAATGGGAGATGTTAATACTATCTCATTATTCTTTAGATTTGAAATTTTCCTTAATATACTGTTTTTAAAATGTGACTTGGGGGGAGAAAAAAAAAGCACATGTCAAAGTACCGAGGCACAAAAAAAGTGTGTTTGAGGAAAGATATTAACTTCAAAATATAAATAGGTTATACTCTTATTTATTTATTTATTTTTTAAATTTTTTTTTCAACATTTTTTATTTATTTTTGGGACAGAGAGAGACAGAGCATGAACGGGGGAGGGGCAGAGAGAGAGGGAGACACAGAATAGGAAGCAGGCTCCAGGCTCTGAGCCATCAGCCCAGAGCCCGACGCGGGGCTCGAACTCACGGACCGCGAGATCGTGACCTAGCTGAAGTCGGACGCTTAACCGACTGCGCCACCCAGGCGCCCCAGTTATACTCTTATTTAAAGGAGTCAGGGGTGAGGGTTGGAAAAGAATACAGTTTGAGGACACCTGTCTTCACCTCTCTCCCAGTCACCTAGCTTTAGATTATTTATGGCTGAGACATTCATGAAAAATTAGCAATATATTAAATCTTTCCAAAACAAAATTATTACAAATGCTCAAAATGTATTCTTTTTATTTAACGTTTATTTATTATTGAGAGACAGACAGACACAGAGCATGAGCAGGGGAGGGGCAGAGAGAGGGGGAGACACAGAATCCGAAGCAGGCTCCAGGCTCTGAGTCGTCAGCACAGAGCCCGACGCAGGGCGGCTCGAACTCACAAACTTCGAGATCATGACCTGAGCCTAAGTTGGCCGCTTAACCAACTGAGCCACCCAGGTGGCCCCTCAAAATGTATTCTTGTAACACACCATCAACCATGAAGGAGGACACCTACTCATCAAGACTATTTTCAATTATTCAATGAACATTTGAACTTCTATGTAACAAATTGGTTTGAAATCATCTGGCTTCAGATTCTTCAATAAATAACAGAAAACAATTTTAGGAATGCCAGAATTTAAACTAGAGCTCATTCTGAAACTTTGTATTACTTGACCAGGGATTAAGCCACCCATGCTTCTTTCAAATCTAAAATGCCAAAAGCTAACACTTCAGGGCTGGTACCTCTGGTGCACAGAACTGGCTCTGACTTCTCTATGTCCTATTTAATACCATAGAATTAATACTTTAGTACACCGTGTTGGAACGGCCTGAACACCAGACCAGTTGCCGGAGAGCAATGACACTGTATCCGATACATTCACTGATACAGCCTCTAGGCCCAGCAGGAGGGAGAGAACTGCACCCCCTACCCGCAAATTCCAAACAGCACAGAGGCCATCATCATAGATATTCTCCCACCTGAAATTTAGGAAGGGAGTATCCTGACAAGGTACTGGAGGAGGAAGGGACGTTCTACCTCACTCAATCCCATATTACTTCTATTTTAGTAAAGAAGCTTCTAGCAACAAAATGCACTGTTTGGACAAGTCCTTTTTGTTTAGAGATACTACCCTACACTTTACCTGGGTGGTCTTGTTTTCTAAAAGGTTACACACCTTCCCAACTAGACAGAAATTGTGTTTTTTAATACTGCCATGGTACGGAAGCTACACTTTTGAAAGTCACCAACAAAACCAATGTCCTTTGTCCAGTCCTTTATCCAACTAAAATTTGATGTTACCGATCACCTTCCCCTCTCCTTTGTCACTGTACTGTTAAGTCTCATTTTTGTATATGCGCTCCAAAAACCCCTGTAATACCATAAAATAAGTGCAGATACAATTTTCAAGACAGAACATTTGAGTGCCTCTGTGTGGCAGATAATAGAAACAGAATAGACAATGGCATATGGTCCCTGTGATTTACTCTCTTTCTGTGTCTACCAAAGCCTTCTACATTGCAGATGACCAATAAATCCCTTATTTTAAGGCAGATTAATTGATTTTAGAAGCTTATAATGTTCTATTAACCTAAAAGCCCATGCAATGAAAAACAGCTACGGCATCCTTCTAAAATTGTGAAAACTAAAGCATGGAAAATAAGGAGATCTAAAATGTTTTCACATCAAGCGCCTCCAGTGGGGAGTAAATTTAAACTCCTCACTCCCTATTTTGGGAGAGTAAATACCCTTACTAAAGTTTTACTCCCTGCATTTTTGGTTTGCTGTTTGTAACTCATATTTTCCCCTGCAATTCCTTTCACTTTTATGAGCTGATCCCATAGCATTAAAAAAAAAAAAAAAAAAAAAAAACTGCCTAGAAAAGACTGGAAAGAAATACCGCCAATTACATTCAGATGGTTGAAATTGGGATGGTGGTTATTTCCTTCTTGAGGAGGAGTTAGAAATCCTTTGTTCTGTGAATGGAGGGAAGGATCTGAGAAGAAACAGGACGATTAGGTTTTCAGGAAGAGTCCCAGCTGGTGGACACACCTCAGTTTAGTAGGAGGGAGGGTTATCTTCTAGGGACAAGGCAGACAGGGTAGAGTAAGAGGCTTGAGGACCCTTGTATGATTCATTTAGGGGAATGGAAGGCAGAGCTAAGAACAAAAGAAATGGAAGACCCAGACCCCTGGCAAAATGGAGAATAAATAAAAGGAAGTTAGGAATACAGTGCTATTACCGTCCATTAGCTGATTAATGTCCAATATTACAAATCAGTTAAAATATAAAACAGAGTTTCTGAGGGGAAATTTGATATAATTTTATGCCAGTAAGATGAGATTTCTGAATATGGAAGTATAGGAAACATTAAAACAAACCTAGAAACTAGCAAATAAGCCTACACATCGAAGTTTTGTTTTTTAAAATGTACATCAATAAAGCAAAACTGTAAAAAAAAACAAACAAAAAACAGGGCACTCAGGAATAATGCGAGGGTCCGGTAGTCCCCTGGAGGTGGGCCATGAAACAGTATCTACCTAAGATTATTGTCATCTGGTGTTTGTCCAAATACTAATGATTTCAAGGCACTGGGTAGGGAAGTAATGACACAGAAAGGCAAAAAAGAATGTGTGAAGTTTTTTTTTTTTTCTTACGTTCACAGAAGTTAACTGAAACAATACAGTATCACTAATACCACAATCCTCCATACCAAACCAAACCAACAAAAAAACCTCAAACAACAACAAATCAGTCATTGGTGAGAACCGCCAATCAAGTCAACAATATGAGAAGTTTGTCAAAGCTTCAGTGAAGTCATTATAGCCTAAAGCTATTCCAACAGGGTCATAATTACCTTCAAAGTGTAGGAATACTGGAGATGGTGGTTAAGAAATCACAAAAGTATTACTGGTGAACCACCAATCAATAACACTGTCAACTTGGTTTATGATACAGACTTACATAGATCTTGGAATCCAGGAAATGCTACCATATGTGGCCAGAATAAAGGAGGCTCTCAATAAAGGTCTCAAAAACCGGAATGGGTTTGAAATAAAAAGCGTCTAATGGGCAAGGGGTAGTTGAATCAGGAAAAATCAGATCGCGTGTAAATCCTGGCAAAAGGTATTGCCTCTAAGAGAACCTCCAGATTCACAACAGAGGCCTTTCTGCCTACATCACACACACACATATTATAACAAAATAAGGTCCAAGAACCACAGGCAACTGAGTTATAGCTGGATCTTTCGTTTTCCTTTCCGGTAAGACAATGTCGAAACTGGGCTACATTTCTCAGGATCCACTCTTAATTGTTTTGTAGGGAACAAAATTCCAGGGAGTGTACGTGGAAGAGGGTTCTTTCTGATCACGGAAGTACAAAAAGGGCCTAAACCGGGTACTTTCCAGAACTCCTTACCAAATCCTAGTACCATTATCCCTCCTACCCACCACCCCTACTCTCCATCCTCCCCACCCCCCGCCCACAACGCCTCCGCTTCTCCCCACCCCGACTTTCTCCTGTAATTTGTGCCAAGGAACAATCTCCCCATTCCTACCCACCCCACGCTGATTCAAGGCCACAGTCTCCTCTCTCAAACTTACAACACCCTAAAAAGAGTCTCCCCTATGCCTTCTCGCCCCACCCAACACCCCCTTTCAGTCCCACCCCCTCCCAGTGAACACTCCCTACATTTCAGACCCGGCTCCCCCACTTCCCGCTCATGCGCATTCCCCCAGGGCCCCAATCCTCCCGCCCCGCCCGCCCTTACCATATACCAGGTCCCCAGGATGATAGTCCCGGTGCGGACATGGCAACAACCGCAGCAACGGGTGCTGTAGAACCGGTCACTGCGGCTCCGCTTGAAAGTCATGGACACCATCGGGAATCTCTCAGGCTTCGTTCTAGGATGGGCCCCTGACAAACGCTTTTCGCCCAGAGGTCGAACCCAGATAGCTTTGCCACAGTCTCCAAATCCAAACGACGCGTCTTCAAGCCCTCCCCTGGCCCGGGCCCCAGCCAGCTCCTTCGCACCTGCGCACTAAGTGCCGAGCGCCGCTCTCGCGCGACCTCGGTTTACCCCTCTTCCTCCACCTTCCCCGCACACAGGCCAATGGAAGAGCGGAAAGCTGGGTGGACTCGGCCCCTGATTGGACAAACATGGAGACTGACAAGACGTCACGCCCAATCAGAAGTGCGACTCGCCTTAGCGCTAATGACTCCCCGCCTCTTACTAGAGGGCCGGAACTGGCTCGTAGGCCTAGAATAGCTCGGGAGAGGTTGGTGGTTTACCATACCCGAGACGAGAGCGACAATAAAAGAAGCATTTAATGGGGAGAAGCAGAGACAAGATGGGTTGGTGGGAGAAAGCGGGCACGAAGGACTTTCCTGTGTCTCCGCCACGAACGGCTTCGGAGGCGTCACGGGACCGAGGCTGCTCACGTGACCTTTGCGCGCAGCTTGATTATTTGGCTGGCCGGGGGCGGTGCCACTGGGAAAGGGGTGGGGCTAATCCCCGTTATGGAGCCTTCCTCGATGCAGGGGTGGGAATTGGGGACTTCTTGGAAGAGTACAGTTTTAGGTTTCCACACTCCCTCACTTTGAAGACTTCTTTTTGGGAGCAAAGACCACCTAACTCTTAAGCAACTAAGAAGCAAGAGGATTGAGAAAAATAAAAAGATAAAGTAGAAGAACTGTTTAGTTTCTGGGTCTTTACAGATAAGTGATTTTTATTGGGAAAAATTGTGAAACACGTTGAAATGGACCAAGAGATTCCTGGGTTCCTAAAGTGAAAAACCAGCCATAGTCTGACACACCTTTCTGGGTACCCTGATTCTATGTGGGCTTTCCATCTTTCTTTGAGGAACTCTGTACAACTCTCTATTGTAGATAGCTAATAGCAAAAGGAAATACTCCTGTCCATCGAACTTGACAATGAATCTTAACGCTCCTGGGAGAAAGCCATTTTGCATCTATTTGTAAATTCATCTCCCATTCACAATTCAACAATATAAGTGAGTACTTTAAATTCTCCTTTAAACTGGTACTATCATGTTAACTGGTTTCCTCATTGAATAAATAAAATCTTTGCCACTTGTTTATTTTGTATTTCTGTGAGACTTAAGGATTTTACTTTAAAAAAAAAAATACATGGTTCAACTGTTGGGAAAGTACACTCCCTTTTAGGGAAGAGAAAGGCCTCCCCCAACCCTGCCAAGTGTATTCTTAGCTGGAGACCACAGTGAATTCAGAGTAAAGGTTATTGCATTGACATGGCTTCAGTGAACACCGCTTGAAGTTATACATTGATTTATTGATTATCTCTCCCCACTAAAATGTAAATTCTAGAAGAGCAGAGACTTTGTTTACTTCTGCAACATGGAAGAAATTGTCCATGGACAATTATCCTGGTTTGGATAATACTTGCAATATGGGAGGCCATAGTTAGGTGAGGCTACACTGAAGGATGGAGTGGGGTGGAAGCAATTTGACTCATAATGAATTGACATATCTCCACTTTAGTCCATACCAACACTCCCCTCTCCCCTTCAAAATTACATAGCCCTTACTGTGTTCTGTGCAGGGGTTCAATCACTATTTTGAATCATTTCATCCTTTCAACAATAAATATAGGGAAGGTGGTTTTATATTATTTAACTCCACAGAAAAGTTAAATTTCACATCCAAGGTTACAAAGCCAGGATGTGGAGAAATTGGAACCTTCATAAATTGCTGGTGAGAATGTAAAATGGTGCACATGTTGTGAAAAAGTTAGACAGTTTCTCAAGAAGTTAAACACGGAGTTGCCGTAAGATCCAGCAATTCCACTCCTACGTATATAAAGAGAATCAAGTTCACACAAAACCTTGTAACAAATGTTCATAGTGGCATTACTTATATGAAAAAAAAAATGGAAACAATCCAAATGTCCATTAGCCAATGAATGGAAAAGTAAAATGTAATGTATCCATACTAATGGGATGTAACTTAGCAATAAAAATGAATGCATAATCCACCTCAGAAACACTATGCTAAGTGAAAGAAGGCAATCACAGACCACAATGTTTTGTTGTATAGACCATTTTTATGAAATGTCCAGAATAGTCAAATATATAGACACAGAAAGTATATTAGTGGTTGTCAGTGGCTGGAGTCAGTGAGGGACAGGGATGATTGCTAAAGGGGATGGAGTTTCTTCTCTTTTCTTTTTAATGTAGTTTCTTTTTCAGTGATGAAAACGTTCTTTTTTTAATGATGAAAATGTTCTACAACAGGTTGTAGTGATGGTGGCACAACTATGAATATACAAAAACCCATTAAACTGTACACTTTAGGTGAAATGTGTGCGAATGTGAATTATATCTCAATAAACTACTAAAGGAGGGGGATGGGAGAAGGGACTGGTTGCTGAGCCCAAATGAAGGGTCAGCCTTAAGAGGAAGAGGAACCCCACTGAAATGGAAAAGTATGAAACAGACAATGAAAATCTCAATAGATTGGATAAACTCTTGATTGAGTCATTTTGAGAGAAAATTAGTGAATTAGAAGATTGCACTGATGGGGGCGCCTGGGTGGCGCAGTAGGTTAAGCGTCCGACTTCAGCCAGGTCACGATCTCGCGCTCCATGAGTTCGAGCCCCGCGTCAGGCTCTGGGCTGATGGCTCAGAGCCTGGAGCCTATTTCCGATTCTGTGTCTCCCTCTCTCTCTGCCCCTCCCCTGTTCATGCTCTGTCTCTCTCTGTCCCAAAAATAAATAAACGTTAAAGAGCGGTCTTTAAAAAAAAAAAAACAAAAAAGTTTAAAAAAAAAAGAAGATTGCACTGATGAACCGATCCAGAACTTGGCACAGAGACAAAGAGGTAAAGTATGAGCAGTGATGACATGGAAGATCAATCAAAGTATAAGAGCAGATTCCAATTCCTCAGCTGTGAAATTCCCACCCCAACTGATAACATGTTATTTTAATTTGACCTTTCATGCCATAATTTATGGTTAAAAAGTCCTCTTCTATATTATCCTTCCCTATCAACTTTCATCATAGCACTCTTGGGGAAGACAATTTTTAAAGGCTTCTACCAAGGAAAAGCTAACTGCCAATAAAAGCATTTATAGCAGGGGTGCCTGGGTGGCTCAGTCGGTTGAGCCTCTGACTTCGGCTCAGGTCATGATCTCACAGTTCGTGGGTTCAAGCCCTGCATCACGCTCTGTGCTGACAGCTCAGAGCCTGAAGCCTGCTTTGGATTCTGTGTGTGTCTCTCTCTCTGCCCCTCTCCTGCTCACAGTCTGTCTCTCTCTGTTTCTCAAAAATAAATAAAACATTAAAAAATTAAAAATAATAATAATAATAAAGCATTTATAGATGAATTCATCTATAAAAAATCTATTCATTACTTCCAAGAAATAAGAGGATTAGTTAAAAATCAATTTAAATCCCCATTACTCTTCATTAGATTGTTTCATCAGTTGTGAGGCACCTAGAAAATATGGATGGAATACTCAAGTTAATCTTTCCCCCATACCTCTTCATGAAGCAAAAATTGTTTTGATTGAAAAATGCTCCTTGATAAAATAGAACCCAGTTGCTTTCCTTTAATGTTCTATTGAAATATTTCAAAAAGAACTTCATTTCACTTGTTCAAGAGACACCCTTAACCATCTTCTCAAGTGGTTCCTTCCTTTGAATTCTTGGTGTCCTGTCAATTTTTAAAAAGTCTGACTTGGCACATTTCATGGTTGTGTTGAAACGTTTGCCTTTTGGGGCGCCTGGGTGGCGCAGTCGGTTAAGCGTCCGACTTCAGCCAGGTCACGATCTCGCGGTCCGTGAGTTCGAGCCCCGCGTCGGGCTCTGGGCTGATGGCTCAGAGTCTGGAGCCTGTTTCCAATTCTGTGTCTCCCTCTCTCTCTGCCCCTCCCCCGTTCATGCTTTGTCTCTCTCTGTCCCAAAAATAAATAAACGTTGAAAAAAAATAAAAAAAATAAAAAAAAAAAAAGAAACGTTTGCCTTTTAATCACACAGGATGGTAACTCCAAAACAACACAAGTACCTTTATAGAAACAATTTAGCAGCCTGCCCAAGGTCTGTTTCATAGAGTTGTTATTTTCCTGTAAGTTAATATAGTACTAAATGATTTTTTTTTTAAGATTTTATTTTTAAGCAATCTCTACACCCAATGTGGGGCTTGAATTTACAACCATGAAATCAAGAGTTGCATGCTCTACTGACTGAGCAAGCCAGGCATGCCTCAATGAATTTCTTATATTCCTGAAAAAAAGCCTAACAGGGAAAAGAAATCTGGAATTTTGTATTCTGCTTCATAGAGTAGTAGTGTATTAGTAGAAGTCAATAGAATATTTAAACTGTATTATAAATCAACTGATTTCTTTCCTACCCCAAAACCGAGCTTCAGAATAAAGAATAGTACCAAAGGAAATGACTATGCAAAGGGCAACAGTGAAAGTAATCTATAGCAAATTGAATATCTTTGCTATCTAAACATACCATAGAAATTTATAAGTAAAGCATCACATCAGAAACAGATAAATGGATGAAAGATATGAACAAACAATTCACAACCAGTGACAAAGCTTCCTAAGAATAAGAAGCACACATGAAAATGATAAATTGAAGAATCGAAATTAAATATAAATGATTATTCCCCTCCCTTTATTAAATGAATATAACTTGAAAAGGATATCATGAAATTAATACTTTTGTATATAACTGGTGGGATTGTAAATTGGCACAACCATTTTGGACAACTCTTTGATAGTATGTATTAAAGCCACATATTTAGTAATGCCATTTCTAAAAATCTGTTCTTAAAGTCTAGAAACTGAGAAAGTGATCTGCACAAAGATATCCTTTATCTCAGCATTATTTATAATAGAAAAAAATTAGAAACAACCTAAATGACCAGTAATAATTTAGTAAATTATGGTATACTTTATGATGAGATACTCTAATGTCATTAAAATTGTAAAACAAGATAAAATATTTATGAAATAACGTTAAGTGAAAAGAGAATACAAAATTCTTTAT